TAGATGTATTATATATACAGGGGCCATGTGAGGCAGGGTGGTGAAATCAGGCGCTCGTCATTTTTCCGCAGGTTTGGAAAATTCTATTGAATTTTTGTTTTTAGGCTCAAAACTTTCCACGCCCATTAAAGATCACATTTCTGTGTGGATTTAACTGGAAAACGTTGAATGAAGGCAAATAAAAATGGTAAATTTTCAGTTCCCACGGACTCTCAAGTTAAGGAAATTATAACTAAACTTTGGCGCCCCTTTTCTCGCTAATATTACCTCTGAAACAAGGCGACCCCACCTCCTTCAGTCAGCAACATCTTGATAAAAAGAAAAGGATTTTTATTTTCCATGTAAAGCAAAACAAGTCAACAAGCTTTAAATATTCCAATAATTCCACATGCACAAAAATCCCTCCCCCCTCCCCCACCATCACTGCTTTAGTTTTTTATTTGTTCACAATAGCTTACTGAGCTGAGAAGAAAAGTGAGAGGAAAACAGTGGGGTCAGTTGGGGTAATGCCTTAATAATGAGCACAGAAGAGATGACCTGTGAAAAAAGATGGGTGGTGTGGAGAAGGGGGGGGGGGGGGGGGGGGGAGGGAGGGGGTGGGTGTGGAAAGATAAGCTTATTAAGGCGGAATGTAATTGGCTGTGGGATGTGTATGTGGAGAAGGGGGGGGGGGGGGGTGTCAATAAGAGCTTAAGTTTAAGAGAAATTGTTCTTTCAATACAAACTCATGCCTAATTAGGCCCACTATTCAAAGTATTTAAAGCTGAAAAAAAGCCCGTTGGCAAGGAATCTCAACAAATTAGGCCTACTTGTAGAAGTTTACAGGACTTCACTGTGCAACAGGGTGTGATATTATATAATTATTAAGGAATTCAGAACGCAAGAAGGGTAATCAAAACCTCTTTCTCGATTTTCTACATGACTCAAAGACAAGAAAATGGCGTCTGTAACAGGCAGATATTGTTCAAACTCTTGAACTTGAATTAGCTGTGGACCCGGAACCACACAACCGGGGCCTGTCACATAAAATGTCATTTTTTCAAACAATGTCGTGGAATTGAATAAAATTGCAGTCTCTTACCTTTCACTACGCAAGCATATTTACACAACTCAATGTACTTTTCATTTTATAATATAAATATATATATATATAAACCAAAATTTCAACTCGTTGCCTCAGAAGCCATGAAAAGTAAAGTGGTATGTCCACTTGTTGCTTCCTAAGGCTTCCTTCCTGACCTGCGAACACACTGTAGTTTAAGTGCAGAGCGCCGTCACCCGCCCCTCTCTTCCAAGACAAGGTGGTCAAAAATCCATGACGAATGACCTAGAACTAGAAGATCGCGAATAACGTTCCACGAGTAACGAAGCGGGGAGTTGTCGGGGAGAGGGGTGGGGGGGTGTCTCTGACTCAAAATTAAATTATGAGAGGAAAAACATACTTACAGACAAAGCACCCTATTTAATCAAGAGACGAACATTGTTTCCCTGTCCTTTCAATCCCTAAGTTATGGCTTGTGGGGGCCGACTGGTTTGGATTTCCCAACTTATAATAATAGTAAGTGGCAAGTGGGAAAGTCCCACCCAAGACACTTGGGTCCCACCACACACCACAAATCCGGTTGGGGAGCAATGTTGGGCTTCATTTTCAAGGAAACGTGTTTTTATTTTTTCGCCGAGTCGTTTACTTAATTTTGCTTTTTATTTTGTCATCGGCTTTATTTTCAGAATGCATTTCCTTCAGTAGCCTACCAAGCCGTTTTCAATTTTTTAAAAAGATGGGTGAGGAGGAGAGGGGATGAGGGGGAGCTACAAATTCGGTTTCTACTCAAAGTAAGCCCCCCCCCCCCTTCTCTCTCTCTCTCTCTCTCTCTCTCTCTCTCTCTCTCTCTCTCTCTCTCTCTCTCTCTCTCTCTCTCTCTCTCTCTCTCTCTCTCTCTCTCTCTCTCAATGCGTGTGTATTCGTACGTTTGTGTATGTTATGTATGCTTGCCTGCTGTGCCTTTGTATGTCTGTCTGCATGTATTTGTGCCATTGTCTGACCCGCACTCTTCTCTATGACTCTCTCTGTCTGTCTGTCTGTCTGTCTGTCTGTCTGTCTGTCTGTCTGTCTGTCTCTCTGTCTGTCTGTTCTCTCTCTCTCTCTCTCTCTCTCTCTCTCTCTCTCTCTCTCTCTCTCTCTTTATGTTTATTTCTCTATCTCTCTCTCCCATTGCGTGTGAATCAGTATCTCTTTACCTATCAATCTCTCTTTATCTCTCTCACACATTATTGCGTGAGTTTGTCTTTTAGTCTGTCTCCCCGCATGTGTTTGCCTGACTGTCTGTGTACATGTATGTATGAACCTAGCTAGGTTTGTCTCCCCCCCCCCCTCTCTCTCTCTCTCTCTCTCTCTCTCTCTTCTCTCTCTCTCTCTTTCTCTCTCTCTCTCTCTCTCTCTCTCTCTCCATCCCCTCTCCCATTGTGTGAGTGTCAGTCTGTAATTAGTCTGTGTCTCTTGAATTTGTTGTTTTGGTTAGTGTTTTACGGCGCTCGCAACTGCATAAGGTCATATGAGCGGACGCCGCGGGACACATTAAAAATTTTAGTTTGGAAGGAATTAATTTTAAATTTTGCTCCTGTGGATGCCGAAGACTACTCTTATTGATTTTGGACCACCTAGGGATTTTTAACGTGCTTAACTTGCACACGGGACGTTCGATAGTTTTCGACCTTATCCGAGAAGGCTAAGTGTAGATCAGTGGCGTGGCTGAAAGACAGCAATAAGAAGGAACCAAGGAGTAGAAGTAGAAAGGCTGCAGAAGGCGCCAGGAGCCTAAAGGAGGGGGGGGGGGTGCAGAAAGTGGAGGCGAAAGCAGACGACAGAACATAATAGAGAGCTGCAGAAGGAATAGAGGTGAAAGGAGAAAATTCCAGAGAAAAAATTTGTCCTTCTCTGTAAGGTTTCGAACCCAAGGCCTATTGAACGAGAGAGGAACACCGTAACTTCTTGACTGCGAGAGCTCCCGTCTGTGTCTCTGCATGTGTTTGCCCGACTGTGTATGTATGTACGTACGTTTGTCCTCTCCCTCTCCCTCTCCCCCCCCCTCTCTCTCTCTCTCTCTCTCTCTCTCTCTCTCTCTCGCTCTCTCTCTCTCTCTCTCTCTCTCTCTCTCTCGCTCTCTCTCTCTCTGTATACACTTGTGTCTACATTTCCCCCTCTCTCAGTCTTTCTATTTGTCTTTCTGACTCTCTCTCTCTCTCTCTCTCTCTCTCTATATATATATATATATATATATATATATATATATAATATATATATATATATATATATATATATATCTCAGTGTGTGTGTGTGTGTGTGTGTGTGTGTGTGTGTGTGTGTGTGTGTGTGTGTGTGTGTGTGTGTGTGTGTGTTTGTGAGCGTTTGTGTATGTATGTTCACCTGCTGTGCCTTTGAATGTCTGTGTGCCTGTTGTATATTTGTCTGTCTGACCCCGCACTCTCTCTCTCTTTTTCTCTCTCCCTCTCTCTTTCGCTCTATCTATCTATCTATCTATCTATCTATCTATCTATCTATCTATCTATCTATCTATCTATCTATCTATCTATCTATCTATCTATCTATATGTCTGTGTGTGTGTGTGTGTGTGTGTGTGTGTGTGTGTGTGTGTGTGTGTCTTTGTGAGCGTTTGTGTATGTATGTATGTTCACCTGCTGTGCCTTTGAATGTCTGTGTGCCTGTATGTGTAAGTCTATAAGTCTGTATATTTGTCTGTCTGACCCCGCACTCTCTCTCTCTCTCTCTCTCTCTCTCTCTCTCTCTCTCTCTCTCTCTCTCTCTCTCTCTCTCTCTCTCTCTCTCTCTCTCCTTCTCTCTGTTTCTGTTCTCTCCCTTTCTGTCTCTTTCTCTCTGTCTCTGTCTGTCTCTGTTTCAGTCTCTCTCTGTCTCTCTGTCTCTCTGTCTCTCTCTCTCTCTCTCTCTCTCTCTCTCTCTCTCTCTCTCTCTGTGTGTGTGTGTGTGTGTGTGTGTGTGTGTATGTGTGTGTGTGTGTGTGTATGTGTGTGTGTGTGTGTGTATGTGTGTGTGTGTGTGTGTATGTGTGTGTGTGTGTGTGTGTGTGTGTGTGTGTGTGTGTGTCATTGTTTGTGAATCTGTCTGTTTGTCTATCATTACATTTAATCTAAAGGTGAAGCGGAAATTGTGTTTTCAAGAAAAGTTAAGAATCTTGGCATCTATATATTGATTCCAATTTGTCAATGTCGGATGAGGTAAATCATCTGTATGTATATTTAGGGATAATTTTAAGAAAGATATTTTTAAGAGCCTCATTAGGACAGCAGGAAATTCATTTTTATATAGTCAGGCCAAATTGAAAAGAAATCCTCCACTTGAGTTTTAAATGAGAGCTCAGGCCGCAACCCACACCCCTTCATTTTTGTCGTTTTGAGAAAACTTGAAAAATGCACTGATTTTGTTATAACTTTTAAAAACAAAAACAGGTAGGAGCATAAATTGAATTGTATATTAAAAACAATCAATTTTTTGTCAATGTACCCTATTCTTTTATTTCTAATTCTAAGGAAAAAAAGTCCCCCCAAAATACAGTAGGCAGTGATGCAACAGAGCGGTCAATGTTGTGGTAGTTGTGGTAGTATAAACTGAAAAGAAAAAATTAATGGAATTTTGTCAAAAGCATGCAACTCCAAATTGTCAACAGAGGAAAACGCAACCATAAATTGCAGAAAGACTTCTCTATTCCTAATCAGTACCTCTACACCAAGGCATTCGACAAAGTTAGGTAGGCCTACGACAAGATCATCGACATGCTGGAAGTCCTCAATATTGACGGGAAGGACTTAAGGATTACTAAGAACGTTTACTGGGATCAAACTGCTGCAATGAGAATAGAAAACGACATCAGCGAATACATACAGATTAAAAGAGGGACTGGGATGTATACTTTCTCCAGACCTGTTCTCTCTGTATAGCGAAAATATCATGAGATACATAGAAAAAATGCCAGGTATCTCGATAGGGGGGCATAATATAAACAATCTAAGATATGCTGACGACACAGTCCTAATAGCAGAAGATGAAGAACACCTACAAAATCTATTAAATTATTTATATGGCATTGTACAAGAGAGTGCTTTTGTTACGTCTAAACATCAAGAAAACCGAAACAATGGTAATAAGCAGAAAAGCTCCAACCCCAACATGTAATATCAAAATCAATTAAACCACCCTCAAGCAAGCACAACATTTTAAATATTTGGGGACCATGATGTAACACCAAAATTAAAAGCAGCATTTGCCAAGCAAAAGCAGCCTTCCACTACATGAAACAGATACTCACAAACATCAATCCGTCACTGGAAACGAGAAAAAGAGTACTGAAAAGTTACATAGAGCCAATCCTATTATACGGGTGCGAAGCATGGACAATCAATAAACAGCTGGAAAGAACAATTGTATGTTGAGACTCAAGCCATCTGAGGTGTCAGTGACAGTGCTGGTTGGGTTTCTACTGCATCTGATGCTGGATGTGTGAAAAATGAGCGACGTTATAGTAACAAAAAAGTCATTGAGGTGTATTCACAGAGTCCACTGTATACCATTTTCTCTCTGGGTGGCTTCATGGCCCAGTCACTTTCCAACAGGAGCCAGAAAATTGCTTGACAGTAAGCGGTCCCGTCTCACATCTCGTCTTGTCAGGAAGATGTCGGTATGTTGTCCCCCTGAACAACTCTGCAGGTCTTCTTCTTCTTCTCGATCGCATCATATTTGAAGTCTGGTATCTGTCATAAATTGGGCTGCCCTGCTCAGTTCATCTGTCGGCCCGCATAGCTTCTCTTGTAGTGTCAGTGGGACTCAGCAGGTAATCCCATCACAATGATTTTCTTGGGATACCTGTGATCCCCTCTGATATCCCATAATGCCCTAAAATCTTCTAGAGTGTACCCACCCATCGTACTGTCAATCACCTTCTTATGGTCGATGAAGTTGACTTACAAAGAAGTGTTTCACCCCATAGACTGTTCCAGTATATTGAGTAGCGTTGTAGTTCAGGATCTACCCTTGCAAAAACCTACCTGCTGTTCTCTGAGCCTAGCGATGTAAAAGAACTCGATTGCGTTCAACAACTTTGCTTGAAATAGAGAGCAGTTATTCCCCCGGAATCGGACCGTGAGCTCGAACAGACATTCTTCGTCACTTTAATGGGGTAGACCACCCTACAGTCCTCAAGAAATTGT